CGTCATTTCTGTAACGCGCTTTCATTTACAACACCGAAACACATATACCCACACCCGAAATGAAATAGTCATGGACACGCGAGAAAACTCAACATCGATGAAACAACCCAAAAAATGGGTAGAGATAACTTATATTTTTGGTCTCGGATCGATTATATGTTTTGTTTACGGTTGAGGAGAGACAGCATGTACATGGTATGAGATTCGCATTTTGTTGGCAACATATCTGCTTCACTCTTTTCTTGGATTGTTTCATCAGCATCGAATTTTTCACGCGTATCTGTTCTGAGTAATTTGGGTTTCCCCTCTACCGCACGAAATTTAAAAAGATGTGCGGGGATAGGTGATAGACAGGTGATCGCAAATAACAGCCGAAACAAAGCGCTGACTTAAGTTCGTGAGAGAAACGGTTTAGGAGTTTTTGTTCGGATGAAAGCACGTTTTGCAAAAGCAAAAACGACAACGGGGAGCAAGCCCTCATGTCTCATCCGGAGACGGAGACCACTGCCACTACGCCACGGTGACCATGTGGTCATTGCCGACAACTGCGCTTATCAACTGGCACTATCTCTCCATGCTGTAAGCATGCAAGATTCAAACGCTCACAACTTTTTTGGTAGACTCATTTTGCAGTTTCATTTTCCATATTTGTTAATAACTTTCCATGCCCTATTGATATAACTTGGTCTCCATTCGAAGTTCCATGGGAATTTGAAACCCTTCCCTGGTGAGAAGATCTGCGAACTTCAGGTCACCTTCTATAGTCTCAATGCCGGGCATGAGGGAAAAGTACGTGGGGAGAAAAAGATCTGCCTGGATGAATAAAGGAAGAGCGTTGGGCAGCACCGTTGCCTATCCACCCAGCAGTTTTAACAAGCACCGTACACTTAGGCATGAGAAAGAGAACGCTCCATTAATCGATGTGAGTGTTTTGCTTAGATATTTTGCACTGCACCTGGAAGAAAATCATGGAAGCACGGAAATTATGCAGCATCAAGCTGGAAATCAATGCGAAAGAGGAGAGGCGTGAACTCCTGAGACTGATTAAGTGATAACACACACTCGCTTCAGGACGAAAGCGGCGTTCAGTTCCCTTTCAAGTTCTCCGCCGACAGGTCCATTCCCCAATTTCCGGTTGGCTTGGTATGATTTTGTTTTGTGCTGTAACTGGTAGTTAAGTGATTGCATGCGGCAATATATTCATTATTACTGCAACTTTCTCTCGAACGGTCGTAGTTGGTCGACTCTCTGTTCTCAATCAATTCGCCCGTCTTTGACTAATTGTTTATCATCTATTTGACAATAATGGAAGTATAATAGCTTATTGCTGAAGTATATATAATCGACATTCTTTGTGGCGGGGATCGAAATTTCTTATTTCATAGCCACAAGCACAGGTGAATTGTTTGAACCTCCTTGCGCTTGGTTATTCCAAACTGTCTGACTGGATCGTCATTCATCAATGGAAACACCTAGTCCTCTTCCTGTTCCAACGGCTAAGCGGAAACATGTTGAATGCCTTCCTCTGAGAAGGACGATCAACTTTTGAAATTAATCAGTTCGGATAAGAAATTTCCTAAGTATGTCAAAATTAAATTGTCCTGCTGTGCTCAAGGACACTAGAGATCAGTTGTTGGCGGTCAGTGAATGGTCTTGTAAATTATCGGATGAGAATGAAAAACTGAGGAAGGAGAACGCTGAGCTTAAGAAACTTTTAGAAAGTAAACAATCCCAATCAAATTCCAGGGCACTTCCTCCAACCTCCTTCCCTCGTAACTCCCACTTGAAACCTGTTGAGAGCGAATTAGAAAGGTCTTCCCATCATTATTTAGGGATTCCTCGAATTTTCCTCCCTTCATCGGCTGATAGGGGTTATCGTGATTTAAACGCTGTCAATTCGACGTTCAGTGCATCCCCATCACTGTACATCGCCTTGGTAAACATGATAATACTAGATCACTTGTGAAGTAGTTCTATCACTTATAAGCTCCAAAATATTTTTCTTCAGTGTACTTCTCGGTTGCATTCGTTCTTCGGAATCTTCATCCGTCCCTTCCTGACAGTAAATCCATCCAAAACTCTAATGAAATTTTGGTTTGTAACATAGCTTTCTACTTCGATGAAATAAGATTAGTTGCTATTTACAGAGCACCTAATTGCTCCTCTTTTTACAGCAACCAGCTTCTTAAGGCCCTATAAGGCTCTTCCAATAAACCCTCTGCTATTGCTGGGGACTTCAATCTACCACAAATTAATTGGTTTCCTCGAGTTAATAGCAATGATTGCCTGCTCACCAGGGAAGGATCCCAAGTCGAAGTGGCCACTTGAAATGAGATCTACACTGCTAGACTTGTTTTTGGATGCTGAGTTCAAATCTGCTTTCCAAATTTGCCGAGCGTTTCTCTGAACGGAGTTATGAGGGTGGCTTCAGAG